ACATAATGGTGTGGAGGGGATGGCTATAAGGGGAGAAGGGAGGCCATCCAAAGGAAAAAAAAAAGAATTGTTGGGTAATTCTATAAAAAGCACAGCATTTCTCCACCTCTGCCTTTTTGTTTCTTGTGCAAAATAAATTCTGCTGCAGTTTTTTTGGCTCCATATCAAACTGCAGCACTATTACTGCCAAGAAATCCATCCAATAGGTATGGGGAGCGTTAATATTTTTGAAATTAGCTTTATTTTCTCCACAGCTGCATACAGCAGAGTGCATGCCTCACTTCACAAAGTGATTCATAGGAGTTTTGTCAGTGCTCGGAAAACTTTTGTGGGGACTTAAAGCCAAAAAAGGCTGAGTTTGCCTGTTAGTTCACCTTTCAGACTTTATTGTTGAACAGCTGGGATCAATCTCAATGAGAGAAATCAAAGCTTTTGTTTTCTCCTTCGATGTGGGTGGAGTAGTTAGATCAAAATGTTGCGGATGTTTGCATAAAAAAACATCAAAACTGAATAAAAGCTTGTGAAAAAGACCCTGTTAATATCTTTACTTTGTGTTTTGTAGGGACCATGTGTTCGCAGTCAATCTGGCCACGTCATCTGATCAGATAATCCCCCAGCAGGTAGGAAAGTCTGTCTCTTGTGATTGAAACATTGTTGCCTTTCAGTACTCACAGATGTTAAACTGTTTGCATTGTTCTGTAAGGATCTGATGATTATATCCATAAAAAACTCACCTTTTGTGATGGATTTTCACTCAAACGTTAACATATAGGAAGTGTTTGAGCATGTGATGTACAGAAACAATTCAAACCTGCTTTACCAGCTGAGCGGGATTATTTTTAGCTGTTGCAGTGTACAGTATTTTATGTTTCTGTAGCTATTAAATATGCAATAAATCTTTAACAGAAATGTCAGGCAAGATAGTGCGGTATGTCAAATGTACAAAAATCTGCTCTTTATTTGGCATTTCATTATAATTTTTTTTCTTGGAGCATTTTTTTTACTCAAAACAATATTTTTTTTATTTCTGATCATTTTTCCCTACCTTTTGTTTTCTTTTTAAAAAAAATCAACTATTAAACAGTCTCTCTTCAGATATTTCCACAAGAGGAGCACTGCTCTTGTTGCTTTTGAAGTGCGGTGCTCTCTCGTATCTGAATCTAATTTGTCAAACATGATTGCACTTAAATAAAAGCCCTCAGAGGTCAGGACTTTGGTTTGCTTGTATTTAGATTAGCCCCAAACGAGGATGTTTGTTCTGATAAGGCCACCGAACTACGCTGAGGAGATCTAAGCTGCTGGTTTTTGTGTAGAGCAGACTGTGGCACAACGAAATGAGAACCTCTGAGCACCGCACTGTTCAACTGTTAGATGAAAACCTAAATAATGAATGTTTGAACATGAGCCGATTTTTTTTTGTATCCATCCACTCAAACTGCCTCCAGTAAGACAGCAGCAACTGAGTGGAAAATTATAAAGACCCCACTCCTATATTCTGCTTCTCACTCTGCTTTTCCTGCTATCCATCTGAGCAGGTTCATTAGTGTGTGACTGACTTATATTGCCAGAAAATGGTGTGTCCTCCACGTCTCAGATCCATTCTTTCATGCAAACTCATTTTAAACTGCCTTTCCATTCCTCACACTGGGCGTCCGTTCACGTACCCCCCCTCACCCGGCTTGTGTGTCCGTAAGTTATTATTAGTAAACCAAATCGTGCGTAGTCAAGGCGAGGACGATAACGCTGATTCCCACTGAATTCTCCCATCGACACAAAGTTGTGCCAGAGGTGTCCAATAAAGAAAATAAAAACTGCAAAATTACACCTAATGGTTACCTGAGTAATGTTTTTATGCTAAATTTGATGATAAACCAAAAGTCAAACACCTCCTGCTTCAAAGCGCCGTGCTCCCAGGATTCCTGGTTTTGTGAAGACAGGAGCTTTATTACCATTTTTTTTTCTATCAATCTGAAACCAAATCTTGATTCAGGATTTATTATTCAGCCTTGTGTGGGGCGGCTCTTGTTTGGTTCTGCTCTTGACTGCCTGGCTGAAAGCTATTAAGCAAAATTGAAAACCATTCCTGAGAAAAACAGAACAAGAGGTGCTGTGGAATGAATTGTGTTTTAGGGAGTTACGATCCAAGAGAAATGAAACGCCAGTTCCAGCAAAGAGTCAGAATGTGGTTATTTCACTTTAATAAATGTAGGCATCTGTATCAGTTTTTTTTCTTCTATGTGTACTGTGCTGATCTTTAACTTATTAGTAGAGTTGAGAGAATGTTATTAAAAAGTTTAAAAATGGAATATTTACACAGAGAGCACAGTTTAATTGAACACCTGTACACACACAAGTAATTATAAATGTGAATATGCATAAAACTTGCTGAATAATTAACTGATATATATTTGTAATGTTTTTAACATTTCACGCAAGAAAGCACATTTGGATTTAACTAAAGCAGGGTTCCCACAGTTCCTTAGAGTCTTAAAAGGCATTAAATTCATCCATCCAAAAATAAGGCCTTAATTAATCTTTAAAAAACTTAAATCAATCTTTTTGAGGTCTTAAAAATTTTAACACTTAAGTAAAATGATTGTATTCAAATATTTGGTAAAGTAAAGTAACATTTATTTATTTTTTAAAATAACTTTCAAAATCTCTCTCGTAGCTAATTGTTTTATATTTAAATAAACACTTGGGTAAAATTGTTGCTAATTGTCCCCCCCCCCCCATTTATGTCAATCAATCAATCAATCAATCAATCAATAAGTTTATTCACTCAATTCAACAATTTTTCTCATAGCATACAAACACATTTTCGTTTGACACATACTATACATGAGTGAAAAGGGAGCAGGAAAAAGAAAACCTTGTATAAACCTGCTCCTTTCTCAATAATTACAATTATTTTTCATGGCCACATACAATAAATCATAAATAGAATCTGCAAACAATATATTGTTCTCTTCATTAACTCAAAAGTGTATAAGACTTAATAATTTTTTTCTTATAAAGTATTTTAAACTGATTTAAAGTAGAACATTTTTTCAAATCGTCATCCAAATTATTCCATAATTTTACCCCATAAACTGAAATACACATTTGCTTTAAAGTAGTACGCACAGTTTTACTTTTAAAATCATATTTTCTTCGGTTAGTTCTGTCATTTGAACTTAAAACAAAAAACTTTTATAAATTAATTGGCAATAATGTCTTTCTTGCTTTAAACATAACTAATAAAATTTTTAAATTAACTAAATCCCGTAGTTACAAAATGTTTGATTGAATAAAAAAAAAATTTTGTGTGTGTTCCCTAACATTCACTTTAGACAGAATTCTCATAACTTTCTTCTGTAACAGAAACAAAGGTTTAGTGTTGGTTTTATATGTGTTGCCCCATACCTCTACACAATAGGTCATATACGGAACAACAAGTGAGTGATATAATGTATGGAGTGTTGGTTGTTCTAAAATGTTTTTTACTTTATTTAAGAGTCCAATACTTTTACATAGTTTTTGTTTTATATATTTTATGAGATTTCCAGTTAAGTTTATGATCCAAGACAACCCCTAAAAATTTAACTTCATAGACTCGTTCCACTATATTATCATCTATGGACATTGTAATAGAGCAATCTATTTTTTTGTTACTAAAAATCATGAATTTAGTTTTATTYCAATTTATTGATAATTTATTGTATTTTAGCCATTCATTAATTTTAGACATCTCACCAGCCATTTGTTCCACAAGGTTTTTTAGATCATTTCCAGAACAAAATAAATTTGTATAAATTTATGTGAGGTTGGTCTTAAAATTTTGCCTTAAGCTCTAGGAACCATGTAAAGTAAAAAGTGAAAATATACCTAAAAATGTTGGCTGAACAGAAGAAAGTCGAGTCAAAAATAAATAAAATGATGTCTTCAACAAGGTTAGACATGCCTGCTAATCCTTGGACACCAGTCCAGGGTATCGTGTCCCCTGAGTGAGACGTCAAATTTCTGTCTAGGCTTAAATTCTTTTAAGATGTTGAATAAAAACTGGAAACAAACTGAAACAGACACACACATTACTGCAGGTATTCTCAGCAGAATAAAAAATGTGTGGGAAAACTTTGCCTGTAAGTTGGTCGACACTGAACAGGAGCTGTTTAATCCTTCAGCTGGACGTGCTTGTTAACAAAATGATGGATGTTTTTTTCATACTCTCCCACCGGGCATATAGCTGGGGTACAAAAAGAGCGTGTTTTTGTCCTGTCGGCACAGTGAGGGCACAACGTTTTGCCAGTAGGTTAATCGGGGCTAATTGACTCCTCTTTATATAGTCAGTGAAGTGATCCAAGCGTCTTTTTGTGCTCCTTTGTTTCCCTCGTGTGTGCAGCCTCACAGCTTATCTTCTAGAGTGATTTTTATCTCTGAGGAGTGTTTGGCTGCCCACTGTTGAGGCGCTCGGGCGCCGCGGGGGTCTCTAATATTTCTCTGTTTGTTTTCCTCCACAACAGTTTTTACTGAAATTAATGAGATTTTCATCACAGCCGTCTCATAATAACACTTGAACAAGAGAGCAACAGAAGCTGAGATGATGGGAAAACTGTGGCGTGTTGGAGTTGACAGCTGGCTGTCTCTGTCGTTTTTTTTTTTTTCAGAAACTGACGTGGAAAACGAAGGATGTGGAGAAGTGCACCGTGAGAGGGAAGAACAGCGTGAGTATCATTAACCAGACGCAGATATCTTCATCTCTGTTTGCGCTCTGGTTTTATTTCATCTGCACTCTACTTCTGTCTGTGCCTTCATTTCCTGTGCCGTGATGTTTTGTTATAAGCAAAACTGCTCTGCGTGTGTGTCTGAATGTGGGAATTAAAGTAAAAAGTAAGCTTGTGAAAGTCCTGCAGTGACTGTGTTGTGGGCGTGAGGGAACCAGCGTGGTCCTGCTCCCTTAACACGGAGCCGTTTCCCTCCTCGCAGGATGAATGCTACAACTACATTAAAGTGCTGGTGCCGCGCAACGACGAGACTCTGTTTGCCTGCGGCACCAACGCCTTCAATCCCACCTGCCGTAACTATAAGGTAGGTTACTGCACCGCCGTGCGCTGACTCCTGCCCCCAATTACAGGTATCAGAACTGTAATGAGAAACTGTCTATGTTGGAATGTCTGGGCACGCTTTCTCAGCTGCACCCTGTTATTTTGAGTTTTAGAAGGAAATGATGCTTCGATATCATATTAGTGCTGCTTTGTCCTTGTGTGAACATAAAATTGTGAATTAAAAGTCTGGCATTCCTTGAATATCGCCCGTCACCTTTTATGCCGGAGTGTTGAAATAAGAATGTCTCATGATTAAAAGGGACAGAGTTAAAGCCAGAATATGAATCATACTGGTAAACTAGCACAGTGTCTTTTTACGTTCATGTTCACAGAAACGTTATCATATTTGGTGTTGGGTGATGATGTTATTATACCCCCACGTTCCAAATGATGTGCATAGTTCTACTCATCCACTAATAGTGGAACTAATATTTTGCTGAGCAGTTTAGCATTTGAGTTACCTTCATAGAGAAGAAACATATTGACCTGCTGCTAAAAATCGTCACATCATCATATTTTTAATAAATTCCATATTTCCTTTCTCGAGCAACAATAACTTAATGAAGCTACGCTGTCCAGAGACACACTTTAACTTCATCCTCAAGCTGAGGGCCGTTATTTCCTCAAGAGACAGTAAACAGTAAGGAAAATGGTAAAATACTGCATGAACCCAGTTTTATCTGCATATTTCTTCCTAGATTTCAATAACTTTGGAAAAAAGCATTCGCTTTAATAAACCATAGAAGCACATTACATCAGAAATAAGATTGTGGAAAGTTGGAGTTGTGCAAAGTGTTCCCATTTCAAAAGTGTTTTATATAATAAAATTGTGCCATTTGAACATTCTACCAATATGCTGAAACTTTCAGATATTCTGCTAGACCCAAATAACAACAGAAGGAATGATGTTAACTGACATTTTCTGTGAAAACACCCACAAAAAGCTGCCATGCAGCGAGGTCATACTGCGGTCTGCGCTGCGTTTGTCAGCTATAAAAGAAGTCTGGCAGTCAGCACTTCAGTTTGTGCTTTCAGTGATGATCCAACAAACAGCTGTGAGCTCAAACTGCAGGTACGCACATGTAAACAACTGATTTGATACATGATCTGAGACAAAGAGCAGGCCTGACACAGGTGCTGAATGCAGCACTTCTTAACAGGAGGGGTTTGCACGTTGCATGTCCTGACATTATTTTGTTGAGTTAAATGTGACGTATGAGTCATCAGATGTTAAGAATAAATGAAACGGTTGGTTAGATATTAACATGTTGGTAGAACAAACACCAAGACATAATCTGAACACAGATTATACTGGTGGGAGCTTTCTATTATGCCACTAAAACTGTAGGTGTAAGTGAAAAGAGAAGAAAGTGGGAGGTAAAATATGAATCGAGAAAAAAATTTATACCAGAGGCAGAGTCTTATTTGTGCTTCATCTTCATTTAAAATGTGTTATTCTAATATTAAATCACATAACTTTTGGTTAGATCAGAGCCTTGTCTGGCACACATTCCTCAAAATGCAACCTTTTGAAAATGATTTCGTAGTTCCACATGCTGCCTAACACACAACCCCCAAACATGACAGACGACTTCATCATGGCAGATTACATGCTTGCTTTTCTGTAGCAGACACCAGTTACTCTACACCTAAACCTTTTTACAAATACTGCATTACTTCACTGAACAGACAGGATGAACTGGAACGATGTTTTGAACAGAGCAGAGCAAAACCCCAAAGCCACATATATATATATTTTTTTTATCTCTATCCTTAACTGTTATTAAAGCAAATGTACAGAAACAGATACAATAGACTTAGAGTATTCATTTAAAGCCATAAAATCTGAACAGTTAAAAACAACTTGCGTTTTAATAATTTAGCCTGAAATGTTTTGAACATTGTGAGAAAAATGTTTCCCTCCAGTCATCTCTCTGTGGGTACTGTGCCTGAAATATATCCATTTATCTGTATTTGGACCAACACAACTCCCAGTTATTAGTTGTTTAAAGCAACATGACATGGAAGATCCACTTTGTCATCAGCCCATTAAAAGCATCCGGTTGTTTCTCTTGTATTTGCTATCTTTGATACAAACAAAAACAATTTTAAAATAGAGTTCCTGTGTGGACAAGGCCTGAAACGCTGTAGTGTGGATTTGCATCATCATTTTTACAAAGAACACATCCGTCTTTGTTCAAATTCATACCGTTTGAGTTTTTCTGAATACAGTTCAAGATGACGTTACAGGGGAGGCTCAGAGGTGACATCACAAGTTTGGACTGATTCATAGCAGGGTATTAGTGGAGGAGGGAGTACTTGTTCTACAGGACAGACTGTAAATCTAACAGCACCGGTGGAGTGTGTAATCTAAAGGGCTACAGGATATCTGCCCTCCCCCAACTGTGGATTCACCTGTGAGCCAAACAAGTGGTCCATATTAAAGGGATGGGGGGAACCTGAGTCAGTAAAGTAATGCCCTGCAAGACGATAACAATTAGTTTCACGGAAAGAAACATCAGTAGAATTGTTGCACTCTGGAGGTTCTAAAGATTGAAATATCCCAGATATAGATCAGTATTTTACTTATACAGAAACATCTCATCTCATCCTTTGACATTGGATAAAAAAACTTTTGTCTCGTGGCCACAAAATGAAAGATAAATAAGATAATATGTGGTTATGAGATCATTTAGAACAGCCTTGCCTTGTACAGATATTGTTGGAGTCAGATTATATTATGTTGTTTTTTTTTTTTTTTTTAACTCTTCAAAGGTACTCCACTTAAGGTTTGAGCAACATTATCAAAAAAAAAAAAAAAACACGATTAATTGCGGTATTTAGCCATTAACCATTAATAAGACTATTAATTCCCTGGACGCCTGCATGTCCTTGTCACATAATAAATTTAAATCACTCTAGTGGGAAAGATTTGCTCTGTAAAAATCTGTTCCAAATTGTGTCAAAGTACAAACTTCAGGCTACATATCAGTTTTTAAATTATGTTGATAGACCAAGTAAAACCGGAGTTATGATAAATAAATCACAGAACTTTTTAAAGTTGTTTATGTACACGTTAATGTTCATCAGTGAACAGTCTGACAGCATGCACGCATTCCCGCGGGAGCAGTCTCAGCTCGGTTTGGGCTCGGTTTGCACTTTGGGTAGCTACTCGTGCATGGAGTGCGTGCATACTTGCCAGCGATGGAGGTGTATATACTTGGTGCTTACGTTATTGTAGTATTCTCCATGTGGCAGAATACTTTATAACTTGTGAAATGTTGCAGAATAGGAGAGCAAAAGCATGACAAACAAACTGAATGTTGCACGTCACGTGCAGCCTTTGCACAAGGAGCTTGGTCACACGTGCAAAGTTGGACATATCTGTTGGTTAATGGCGCTCTGAGCACAAATATTTTAAAAAAAGTTTGGTTTTAGAGACCAAAGTTCCAGTAGTGAAGTGAGGGAGGAGAGGAGAGGTTTACTCACTCAGGACTGCTGCTGCTGTTAAACCGCGCTGTTCTCTTTGGACAAAGGTGCTCTGGGGTTTGTTTACTTTGTTGAAAGTAGCATCCCGTTTGGAGCAGACTGGGCGACTTTAAGAAGACAGCAACAGATGACGGCAATGTTCAAAGTTACGAAAACAAAGAACTTTAAGCCCCATGGTTTTGGCTGCCGTGACTCCAAGACTGAATTCTGCCCACTGTTTAGTTCAGTTGCTACCGACCCCAATCACGTGACTGAATCCTGCCCGCTAATTGGCTCAGTTGATGCCGACCACAGTCACATGACTGAATCCTGTCCTCTGATTGGTTTCTATGGCAAATAATCGACGAATGGAGACTCATGCCTCTGTCTTCACCACTGTATTTTGTCTTTTTGAGACAGTATGAATACTCGATAATGTAAAATTGCATATCTTCAAAGCAACATGGATGATAATATTGGGCCTCGTGCAAGAACCATTCGTACGCACAGATTTGTTCTTAAGTTGTGCGTACGAGTGATTTAGGAGAATTTGTGGCATTCACCAATGTTTTCGTATTCTAAGATTTTTTTCAGATATGAACAAAATTCACGAGTGGTCCAGACCTGTCGTATATTTTACCAGCAGTCAGTCTGCTGTTATCCAGACGGGTTTTCCTCCCTAATAACTTTATATTTCGTTAGTTTGAAGATATCTTGAGTTGAAAATAAATCACACTCCATAATTATGTTGACAATAGGCTATTCTGCTTGAATTAGAGTTATAATTTTAAATGTAATAATTTAGACAAACAATATAAATTGTCCTTTCGTCCGTTTTCCGCCGCTTATCCGGGATCAGGTGCGGGGCCAGCAGGAGAGACCCAGACTTCCCTCTCCCCAGCGACACTTTCCAGCTCGTCCTGGGGGACTCCGAGACATTCCTAGACCAGAGGGGATACATAATCCCTCTAGCAAGTCGTGGATTTTCTCCAAAGTGCCGGACTTATTTTGAAAACGCTTATTTCAAACCCGCATCTGAGACCACCTGCGACCGCACGGGGGGTGGGGGGCTGGGGGGTTACGGTGTGCAACGGTGTGGCTTCTGAATAAATGAAAATGATTTAACACAGTTGTTTATACTTTTAGCAGCTCTTTTTATCCCACAGCTGACCTGCTAAAAATGACAGATTTTCTTTTCTGGATCTCTGACAGACGGACTTCAATCTCTGAACTCGTAAAGTTCTTCTTTTTAATTTTCGCTGTCATTTTTCATGAATGGACACTTCCTGATATCTGAGGCAGGAAACACAGCCTTATATGGTGTATTTCAGGTGGTAATTATGCTAATCTCCTCTCGCGTGCACGAGCAGCTGGATACGAACAGGTGGAATTTACGCAGCTCATTTCCACACTTTTCCTGAAGATAGAAGAGTTTGTTGAATCTGACGTGACATGTTCGTACGAACCCTTTGTACGAACAAAAGTAAGAGAAATTTAAGAGAAGAATATGAACATGTTCTTGCATGAGGCCCATTGTCTGTGATATATATATATATCGCCCACCTCTACTTATAGCTGCAACATGTAATTCTGAGACTTACTTCATGTCTAACCAAAAGTAACTGAATAATGTCCTCTATCCCTATATTAAAATAAAATGAAATTAATTCAAAATTTTTCATGTTAACCATCAACAGTCTCTGCATGGAAATGACTGCAATAATTATGCCATGCATTATCTTGTGGCCATGAGATAGTTTTTTGTAATCCTGTGCCACTCTGTACAAATGAGAAATAATTTGATAAAAAAGTAAATAAATGAAGCTAATAAAAATTCATTACATAATTTTTAGGATGATTCTACATGTGTTTATAGATTAACTTTTGTTCATTGTTCCAGCAAAAAAGTTCAGAGTTTAACAGAATGTTAAGAAAAGTCCAGCAAAATAAATCCAACCAGTTTCTTGTGGAATATGAGTGAATGTCTGAAAAATACTCAAAGTAGAGCTGAAGATTACCAATTTAAGTTTAATTTTTACATTTACAAATGCCATGGGGGGACATTAGTCTTAAATGTTCAAACTTTTAAAATCTTTTTTTCCCACTGTACCACTTTTTATACTGAGTTTTTTGGATCTAAAAGTCTGTTTTTATGGTTTTGAACAGTTTCCCGGTGTTCTCAGGGGGATTTTAAAGTAAGCAGAGCATCTCCACAGGCTGACATTACCTGAATGTTCTCCAAAATCAAACCATGTCTCAGATGTGCCAGAGGTCCTGCAGAGCAGTTGATGTGAAATGTTTAAAGAACTGCGTTTCGACCTACATTTAGACGTTATCTTCTTCCTGCCACAGACTCCCTTTAGAACAGAGTGGCTGATTTACAGTTTTACCAAAACATTCTTTCTCCCTGCAGCCCCTCATCTTTCCCCCCTTGTCTGGAAAAGAGAACATAGGATGACGATTCAGACAGCTGGGGAAAGTGGGAAGAAATAATAAATCATATCAAGGAATCTGTCTCCCGAAAAAAAAAAAAATCTGTGCAGGACAGTGTGGGATTGAATCAAAGGCATGTGTGCTCCTATAAAAAACTCAAACGGATGTCCAGCCATGAACAGGCAGCCTGACTGGCCAGGCTGCTGGGACAGCTGGTCTGGAGACAGCAGAAAGCCTGGAGTCAGCATGCATTTATGATAAAACTAAACCTTTAAAGTGTTTAACCCATCTGTTACTTTGTGCTGAAGGTAATGACCCTGTAGGTATTTCAAAAAAATCAATTAACACTCCTGGGGTTTTTTTTAGTCTGTTTCGTTGATTTTATTTATTTTTTTCTTGCAGTTGATGCTTTGCTGGGGTAAAGGACAGGAAAATTGGAAATGTAGCTTTTTTTAGCACCACAGAAAGTGGCAATACATTGAATAATTCAAGCTATACGACAAAAAGAAGAGTGTTCTGTTGGATTTAGTTTTATACATTATTTCCCACATGTTCATGGTATTACAGCAGAATATATGGAAGGCAAATTTGTTTTCGAAGAAACTGATGGGTACAAAAAAAAGCCAAGTTATATGAATTAAAACAAAGTTAAGCACAACAAAACACATATTCAGTCCTCTCTATTAAATATCGTCAACAATTTAAAATCTTTGTTTCATGTCACTTTTTTCTTGCATTTTTTTTACAGTGAACTAGCAGCACAAATATAAGGGTTTATGTATGTTTATTATTCATAAAGGAGTAATTAGTCATCTTCTTTAACTGGCTGAATAACAATAGAGCAGTAATTACATGAAGGCATCTATCAGATAAACATTGTTATGTGTTAATGGACTTTTAATGTGGTGTACGTGAGTCTTTGTCTCACCTTATTGCTACAGAGGCCATTAAAACTCCTCACAAACATCCCCACACTGTGGGTTTTCACGCCTTCTTGTGTCTGAGGTTTACAACGTTGTTAACAGCAGGTTGGAAAATAGCGGCTTATATCTGCGGCTGAGAGATAAACTGTCCCGGCTACCTGAACCACAGGACCTTCACGCCCGGCTTTTATGGAAATGACCCACATATAATGCATCAAATGAAAGTTATCTTTATGGCGCATGTGTTGCCTTTCATTATCACCAATTGATTTGGTGTTCTTTCTTTATACTCAGCTGCACTTCTTAACTCACTGAAGACTTTTGGTCTCAGAGGCTGAGTGATATTTCCCGACAGGGCAGCAGCCATCAGCCTGAAAAAAAGCCTGAGCTTCACAGTTGTTAGTTTTTATGTCCCAATCTTCTGTTGAATTCGTCTTATGGCTTTGTATATGGCCTCGTAAAATATTCTTTTGTTGCTGCTTTCTGTCTGACTAAGATGTTGACCCTGGAGCAGGAAGGAGAGGAGGTGGTGGGACAGGCTCGATGTCCCTTTGAGTCCCGCCAGTCCAACGTTGGCCTCTTTGCAGGTGAGTAGTTGAACAGAATCGGATGAAAATTATGCAACGTGTGTCGCTTTTGATGATGTATGATCACTGAAAATATAAATATTCACACCTGATCGAGGGTTCTTCAATGGGGATAATTAGTCTGTGAACATTTTTCAGTTGATGTTTGACTGAAAAACTAGAAGTTGTTTTATTTTATTTGATTTGATTCTAATCTGGAGGTGCAAAAGTGGGGCCCGCGGGCCAAATTTGGTCCGTCAGGCCATTTGATTTGGCCCGCCACTTTCACTCATAGTTCTGACTTTATCTGAATAATATATTAAGATTAAACATAAAATAAAAGTAACTACAAGAGACATTAAAATTAGATTCAAGCACACATGCAGACCACAAATACTCACATTTGATCAATTTACAAAATATCCCATGAGCCTTTGCTGCCCGAGCGTGCGCAGGCTAAAAACAGAGTTTTTTTGCCACTTCATTAGAAAGCAGAACTTAATATCAGAATATTAGTATCTCAGCTTCTTCATCATCAATGGGTTTTTTTAATAGAAGAAAAAGAGAGAAAAAAGTGAAATGTAATGAGAAAGAGTGAAAGAGAGATTAGAAGATACTGTATGTGAAATATATATTGAGAAAACACAAGACAGCACACCGACTTCTTGGCTCAAACAAACGAGTTAACACACTAGCTGCTAGCTTTAAAAAAAGGACTTTACTGAAGCAGTATTTGTATTTCATTTATTATATTACAGAATTTGGCTGCAGCCCTCAGGTAGATTTTTATTTTGGCCCTCTTCAGGAAAAAGTTTGGGCACCCCTGTTCTAATCTATAAAAAAGCTGTGACCATTAGGGCTGCAATGATACAGAAAATTCACAATTCGGTTCAATTCTTTAGCCTCACGGTTTGATATTTTCTCAATACAAAAGAGAATTTTTAATGCCCTTCTTAACTTGTGATTTATTGAAATTAATTCTGAACATTTGTTTAACCTAAAAAGTTCAGTTTTTAAATGAAATGTTGCTGAAACAGCAAGTTTCTCAATGGATCTGTGCTCAACAATGCAGCCTATGTGGAGTAGTCGAACACAGATCCACTGATCCTTTAACACAGAGCATCTTCAGAAGACAAGCTGATGAATAAATTTAAAACCTGTATTGTTTCATACATAATGTGTATTGAATTGTTCGATACAGATACATGTATTGTTGCACCTCTAGTGATCATGTGTGACTAATTAGAAGTTGAAGAGACAAAAGGCACCTTAAAACTGTGGAGTGTTGACTTTATTTGGGGAATTGGAAGTGTGACCACAATGCACATTTTTTTTTCTTATTTTTTTTTTCCCTTAAGTTAAAATATGGATCACTTCACTTGAAATTTACTCAGCAGAAGTTTGATACCCTTTCATCAGATCTTCTTGTGTTTGTCAAATTTAGTATCTGTTGTAGAAACGCAACAGTGCCCCCTCTGGT